GCGAAGCACATGTCGAAGTCAAAATGCACGAAACACAGCAGCTTCGGACCACTTTTGGAAGTTGAGATGTCGAAAAAGTGCGCGCCATTGTGGCGCGAAGCACATTTTGAAGTCAAAGTGTACAGAACACACCAGGTTCGGACCACTTTTGAAAGTTCAGATGTCGAAAAAGTGCACACCGTTGTGGCACGAAGCACATGTCGAAGTCAAAATGTACAAAGCACACCATTCTCTGACCACTTGGAAGTTGAGATTTCGAAAAAGTGGGCGCCGTTGTGGCGCGAAGCACGTTTCGAAGTCGAAATGTTAAAAAACACACCACATGTTCGCGCCACTTTGGACGTTGAGAGATTGTGCACCTTGTCGAAAGGCGCAAGGGATTGTGCACCGTGTTACAAGTAAGCAAAACGTGAGGGTTTTGTAGCATTTCCAAAAACCATGGCAGGCGTGGGACATTTGAAGAAGACCTGCAAAGATGCATTTTTCCGCGGCAGGCGCAGCACAAGAGACATGTTCATCAGAGCTGTTAGGAGGTCCGGGCGCTGATTTCCTGAGAGGGGTTGCATTTTGGAGCCTCAGATCTTCAGGTTTGCTGAAGTCATTTTGGGTGACAGGTGCAGCACTTCGTATGACCTGGCATCACTTTTTCCGCGGCAGGCGCTGTAATTTAGACAGATGAAGTCTCGCAGAAGTGTTTCGTTTTTGACGTTTTTAAGTTCAAAAATTCGTGAAATCTCGCAGAATTGCTTTGGTTTTGATGTTGTCAACTTAAAAGAATGAAGAAGTCTCGCAGATTTGCTTTGTTTTTTTTTACGTTGTCAAGTTCAAACACTGAGGAAGTCTCGCAGAATTGCTTCGCTTTTGATGTTGTCAACTTTGAAAAATGAAGAAGACTTGCAGAATAGCTTGGTTTTCAAGCTTGCAGATAGACAGGTAGATAGACAGACAGACAGACAAACACAGAGAGAGAGAGAGATAGATAGATAGATAGATAGATGGATAGATGAGATAGACAGATAGCGAGATAGATAGATAGGTAGCTAGCTAGATAGATAGATAGATAGGTAGATAGACAGATAGATAGATAGAAAGACAGATGAGATAGATAGATAGCTAGATAGATAGATAGACAGACAGATAGATAGCTAGCTAGATAGTTAGATAGATAGATAAGTAATTAGATGAAAGAGAGAGAGAGAGAGAAAGAGAGAGAGAGAGAGATCGATAGATAAAATAGATACATAGAAAGATAGGTAGGTAGGTAGGTAGGTAGATAGTCAGAGAAAGAGAAAGAAAGAGAGGGAAAGAGAGGAGACCTCAACCACCTTTCGGTCCATCAGTGGCTTCGCTCTGTCATCCGTGACTCAAAACAACCAACCTCTCCTATAGGTTTCCTATTTTTGAAACTTCCGCCACCGCCTAGTGCGGTACTACTGGAATAAAAACATCATTGACTCATTGATCTTTGGTTACTTTGATCTTTGGGTATTTTGATAACTGATTTTTTGCATATCATTGATCAGGGCACTCCATCTTGAAGACTGTAGGTTGTTGAGATCAACGTCAACCAAAGTAACCAAAGGGCTGTTATTGCATGTCTGCACGCGTGCGTCAGGGGACCACACGGGATGATGCTACGTTTGGATGCGCTCATGTGGGCAAGGCCCTTCTGGGTTTGTGGATCAGCTTCGAACTTCAGCCATTCAATGAATTCAATGACCCCAAGTCTGGGCTGAATGCTAGCTTTTTCGTGGACAAAAAACATCAACCATGACGAAAGTCTGAGGAAAGAATCGAGGGGAAGGACAAGTAAATAGAAAACTCAGTAAACAATAAGTGAAAGAAAGCGAGCCTTTACCATCAGTTATCAACTCTTTTTTTGAATTGTCAAGTTCTATCGTTCTATCAAGTAGCAAATGAGCATCATTGCATAATTGACTCGTTGATTCAAGGATCATTGGTAACATTGTTCACTTGAGAATTACTGTTGGACATTGACAGCGGGTCAACTCATCAACCCAACCACAGAGCTGGCATTGCCATGCGCTCCTGCGTGTGTGCTCAGTGCTCAGGCGACCTTGGGGGCTAACGCCCATGATGTGGACAAGGCGCCTCTGGGTTTTGTGCATGGTGTTACTCACCACTGCCCGTCAGGTCCTGTAAAAGTGATTTGTTAGTGTGTTTGGAACTGGGACCCGTGAGCTGCTGGGTACGATCTAGCCGGAATGCTGGAACTCTATCATTTTGTTGTGTTGGCAGCTGCGGCTGGGAGTGCCCTGTTGTGTGACAATGTCAATGTCTCACCGTTTGATTTTGGATTGAAATTGACTTTATACATTCAAATTTTGCGCTGACGGATGATGGATGGCCTCTTTTTACCAGCGTCAATCGCAACTTGTGAGTCTGTGACTGTCACTGTAAAGTTTTAAGGTTTCGTATTTCGAACTTCAACATTCTGTGGGCAGAAAATGTAATCTTAGTCAAAATTCAATAGCTGCAATGATTTCAACCCATCATCCAGATTCCATTGGCTCCATACTTGTTCGGGTCCACTCCTGAAGTTTTATCATGTTGCAAGTTGCAGTTTTTTTTTTTGCATGTCTGGTATATCATGGACAGAATGTGCTTGTGAGCACTGAAAGCTAAAGACTCATAGCGCCACACTTTTCAAGGCAACACTTGCTCATGTTACCTTTGCCAGGTGAATTTGGACACCCGGTTGTCCATCGGCCAGATACTTCCATCCGACAAGGACCGGGGCCTTGCTACTTGCAGCATGTGACAGCAACATGCGGAACTTTCGGAAGAGCTTCGTGAGCTTTTTTGAATTTTAAGTTGAAGCGCATCATTCGGTAATTGCTTTGGCTTGGGGCTCGGATGTTCTGGCTGAATAGATATTTAAACAAAAATTCAGGCCGCCCCTTTGTGACTTCGAGAGTTGACACTCTTAGAGAGATGGACGAAAACCCCTACGTAAGGTTTCGTTTTTACTACTTCCCTAACCCTTCACTGGACTGACCAATCTTTTGGCAGGTTGCTGGAGCCAGACGGATGGCCGCTGGAGATCCAGCTCTATGTGGCTGAGCAGGTTTGGTCCTCATCATTCCAGCCGCCAGCCAGTCTTGACTTGGTTGCGTTTGATCTTGCTGGCAAGTTGATTCATTAAAACTGACACTGCTTTCGGAAAAAGAAAGGCTAATTAGAACTTGTGGGCCACTTAAGGCTGAAGAACACTTCATGGTCCGGCGTCCACAGGCACAAATTTCTCGGTCGCCGGAGTTCCACTTCCAAAAGGGGAATGCCATGCTTATTTGATATGGTAGTACTTGTCAATGTTCACTGTTGATTTCTTGTGCGCATGGATCAAGTTGCAGACTCACATCTGACACATTCTACGTTCTTGAAATTGAATTTGACCTACTTCAAATTGAAATCAGAAGTCATAGCAGACACGTGAGATTTGAAAAAAAGGTTGATAATTGCGCTCATGGGTCACGCAATGTGGCAAAAGATTGGTATTTGCAGATTTATTGCTCGCAGGTCTCTTTCAAAAACAGTGGAAGCTTGCAGAACTATGCAGCCATGCGCATTGGCAACTTGGTGATGATGGACTCCGTGTATTGCGGACTTGCAGGTTCGATCCACGTTCACATGTGGCAAATGTGGTGAATCCGTCGATAGTTTATGAATCATGTATGGTTCATATATGTGGCGCATAGATGTATCATGTGCCACAGTGCCATGGGACTTTTTTGTACAACCGAAAGTGTTCACTTGGGTCAGTGCGGACATCCAGGTACTGTGGCAATTGTTTGGGGCTTGATTGAAACCCCAAACGCTAGAGAGGATATTTAAGCTACAGCAAACCCAAGCCATGCCCCAAACATCCTATCATCTTAGACCCTTAATCCTAAACCCTAAACGGAAGCCTAAACCCTAAAAAGCATTCTAAGGCTTAAACCCTAAACTCTAGGGAAAATATTTTACTAACAAGTATGTGAGGTTGAAAAAAGTCAGAACAACGATGAACAACTTTGAAAAGTCCTTATGTCTTTTTGTTCAGGCTTAGTTCGCAGGAGTTCGCAGGAGTTCGTCGGAATAGCATTTGCGCAGCATTTTCATACGGAAAAACCAACTGCTGAAGCAGAGAAACCAATGAAAAAAAGCAAGTTATAACCTTAAATCTGTTATTTTTCTTACTTTTGTAGCTGAGTGAACCAAAAATTCACGTAGAGAAAAGGGTCAAAATCAAACTAACATCAGAACATAAGGCCTGAGTTCGTCGGAGTTCGTCGGAGTTCGTCGGGGAGCAAACATAAGGGCTTTGCACGGTGAATTAAGGATGATTAAGGGGTGCTAGGGTTTTTTCGATGGCACCACACGGTTTCAACTTGTTTGAACCTTCAAGTCAACAGATTCAAGCAGGAACAGTTGATTGCCCATTGGTTTCACTAAATTCTGTTGGCAGAACTACAAAACTGGTCGCAAATCATATTCTCTGTGCCTGTGGCGCTGCTACATGTGTGTTTCGGACGGTATTTACAAAGTCAAAGTGTCAACACTGTCGTGTTCCAGAAATATCACTGGCATCGTCGCTTTTTGACATTGTTTGATTGCAGGGTGAAGGCTGAAGAAGATTTTCATTGTAGCTGAGTCATGCATGACATCATTCCGGAGAACCGACTCAGGAATGTTCAAAACCTCACGTTGGCGGACTGCGCTCACGTCAGATTCCAAAGCTGTCACTGCCACTGTCACCGTCGCATCATTGCAATGTCAAAATGTAAAAATCAGATCACCAGACCTGAGCATCAACTTTCCTAAGTCTTGGAATCTTGGAAGTGTGGTTGTCTTTTCGCTATAGTGCATTTCATCCAGAACCTCTAGGCCCTAGGCATCACCAAGTTACTCTTGCTGGAGGCTCAAGTAGCATTAGCTGAAACTTGGCAGTGTTGACGGTTCGGGCAGCCGGTGGTTTTCCACTCCCAGCTTCTGCCGTCATGCCAACGGTCTTGCAAGATGACCCCTTGGCCTTAGACTCGAAAGCAGGTGATGTGCAAAATGGCGACGACAGTGGGACCACCGGTTGCAAGAGTGATGCACAAGACAGCAGCAGTAGCAGCACGAGCAGTTGCAGCGGCAAGTCTTCCACCAGCAGCTCGTCTAGCAGCTCATCCACAACCAAGGAAGAGCTGCCTGACCAGGGGCAGAGAAGCGCCAAACGTAAGAGGGCACAAGGAGAAGTCAGTGCAGCTCCTGCTGCAGACCATGACCGCGCAGGGGATATCTCTGGGTTTGGCTCAGCTGGCTCTGACGAAGATTCCTCTGTGGTCCATTGAGATTTGTTTTAGCTGCAGTCCTTGTTGGCATGCGCAACTTTTTGTTGGTCATTGTCCAGTTAGTGCCAGTCGGACATACCATGGAACAAACATACGTTGGTCGTCTCCGCATTGAGGTCTGGCAAGTAAATTTTCCAAACACTGAGGACTTGAAGCTGGCCGAGGCTGTCAAGAACGGCCCATCGTCCATCCAGGAGCTGTTTGGGTGGCCACACGCTGCCGTGGAACAGCTTTTTCGTTTGGGCGATGCAGCTGGGGATGCCGATGCTGTCAGACTGAAGGGACTGCGTTTGGTGATGACATCAGATTTTTCAGGAATGGGAACTGCTGAGCTGGCCGTCGGCATGGTGCTGGATGCTGTCAAGAAGCATGTCGCGACAGGCCGGTCTAAAATTTGCAACAGTGGTTTCCAGTGGATGCAGGGTTGGTGACAAGAGGGACAGGTGGCAATCAATTCAGTCAAACCATAGTTGCAGGTACGGTCACGGCATCGTCAAATAAGATTGCATGTCTTTTCCTTTTTGCTTGACAGGTGAGACAGATGGGCCATTGTTCCTCCCTTATGCAGCCGCAGATATTTCTGATGTGTGCAGAAGCTTCATCACATCGCATTCCCACCCACCGCTGCACATATTCGGTGACCTGTTTGGACGCTTGTCCAAATCAGCCCTGGACGGTCTTGCTCAAAAAGAGGAGCTTGTGAATGAGGTCTTGCAGGAGACATGCGAGAAAGACAAGGACTGGATGAGACCGGGTCTGGGGCAGGGCGGCGGGTTCAGACTTTTGTGAAAACTTGGAACTTCAAAGATTTGTCACTTGACACTTTCAACTTCGAACTTGAAACGGCTTGTTATGGTTTCCTGAGTTTCCTCACTGGTTCGCGTTGTTGCGCATTCCCAGGAGAATCTCCGGATGTATGGAGAACAGTTGCTACAAGCTCACATGGATACTTTGTCCAGACCAGGTTCTCTTTTGTCGAAAGCGAAATGTCAGGGAGCCCAGGTTCTGGGGTTAGACGGTTAGATGGTAGTCTTTCTGACAGACAGACCTGGCGCATATCTCGCGGGCTCCTGGAATTTTTCTAAGTTGCATTAAACACGCTGCCATGCTGACGCCACCACGCGTCAACATGCAGCTTCGAGACCATACTGTAAACCTTTGTCAGCTTATTTGTTCACACTCTCGCACAGATGATGGACCTCAGGTGATGTGCATGGCAAGGCTTGTCCTTTGCCACACAGCGGCTTGCCAATGGAGCTGCACAAGCAATGCCAGTCTGAGGGCTGCACTATGGCTTTGTCTCTGAATGCCAGCGGCACAGACTCTAGTCGCAAACTTGGCTAGCGATTGGTTTTTCAGCTTTCGGAATCAACATAGCTGACCCGGGCTGACCCAAGAACAATAAAGTCGATTTGAATGTGAACATTTGAACTTGGACATCAATTGAAAATAAGGTTTTGGGCCTTGGGGCTTGGAATAACGGATATAGTTTAAATACAAGCGACACATTACACTCTCTGTGTGTATTGTTTATATGTATATAAATAAATAAATAAATAAAGTTATAGGTCATATACCTTCCCACGTGCCAGGAGTGCTATGATTATTCTTCTATGGGCGAACAGAAGGGCCTCTTGGGCAGAACTGCAAAGACATTTGCTGTGTGGGTAGAAGAGAGGAAACGAAGCGCGGAGGATGGATGTGGGCTCTGCATTTTTAATGTTCCAATTTCCATGTTTACTATTCAATGGTACAACTGTTTCGGCTTCTCAGTTTCAGTTCCTGGTTGGAGATCACATGGGCAGCATGTGGCGTCCTACAGAAACGAAATCGCACGGGCTACACAGGTTTTGGGTGTGGCTGCAGGACCTACTTCTTCATGAGTGCACGGTTCGATTCCGACCAGCAGTGCTTCGGCAACACCTTGGCCACATCTACATCTTCTTCTCACTGATCATTTCTCCCCACCATCTAGGCTGGGCCATTTCCTTTGACCAAATGCAGTCGCCATCCATTGTGAGTCATTTGGCTGTGCGAGGCCTGACTGACTGCCTGCTTTTGCCAAGTTCTCATTTCTCACTCGGCGCAGGCTGGCCAGTCCATCGCCCTCGCAGATACATCATTGGTGTCAAGAAGGGCACATTGCTGTTTGATCATGAAAGGTCAGGGTGGTTGAGTGGGTTGGTTGCTGGCGGGGTGGAATTATGCTTTTTACATGTTGCATATGTCTTTGTATCACCCTCATCTTACATCCAATAAACATTCGAATACCACGATGACTGACCCCCTGCGGCTTTGATTCTCTGATGTGGGATGTGCTACCGAGCTACCGAGCTTTTGCAGACAGGTTTGGAAGCGAGCTGAACCAGCTGCTCAGGAAACCATCTGTGGATTGTGGGATTTTGTATTGCAAAACAGACACCGAAGAAGCTTGGCTGTTGCACGGCGGGCTGTGAGCCTCTTTGTGTTGGTCATTTCTGCTAGTTCGTGATTCATGCATTCACTAAATTCATTCTAGCGGTTTTCACTGGTCTGTGAACTTGCTCTAGCTGCGTAGCAGATAGGTAGGTACATGCACATCCTGATAGTACGAAATTAAGCACCCCAGACCCCAGCCAAGACTCCAGACCGCTACCCACCTAGTTGATTCCAACAGCTTTTGGCAGTTGGCGTGCTCAGGAGACAGACATCAAGATGGCGATGTCAAAGAGGTACAAAAAGGCGAGCCAGAACTCACATTTCTTCAGCTTGCTTCCGGCAGCAAAGCAGAAGCGTGTCAAATTCTACAGGGAGCTGCCAAAAGTCAAGCAATGGCTGGATGAAGGGAAGGAGGTTGCCACTTAGCTGGCTTGAGTGTCAATTTGTTGGCCCCCCTGTGCTTCTACAGGCATTTTGAATACAAACCTTGAAGTTCAGATTTTGCCCAGGCTCTTCAGTCAGGCTTCAGATGTGACACACAGATGTCTGAGGACAAACAGCAAAGAGTGATAGGGTAACGGCAGTTGTCGCTTGCTGCATCACCAAGGCTGTGGATTTGGAGCAGCGCCCAGGCTCCTTTCCCATGGCGAATTACCTCTTGCCAACTCTGCTGCGCGGATCGTCTATGTACCTCCTCCAGAGGGGTGCTCCACTCAGTGGTCAGGCGAGACCAGCTACCCATCCAAGCCTGACCTGTGAAATGTTTGTTGAGTCCACTTTGCCAGATTGATCACTATTACTATTACATTGCCAATTGTCAAGAGTCATCCAGATACAAACATGATATCAGCTGAAGTTGACTTTCAAATGCTGATTGTAGGCCCTTCTTTCTTTTTTCAAGTACTCTTTGGAGCCGTTGGTCGTTGATCCAGTTCTGGCAACGGCAGGACTTGATGATGGTGATGGGTATTCCTGTTCCTTGCCGGGACCATGTCCACCACATGCCTGGCTTTTTCAAAGGCCAGGGGAAAGGCTCCTCCCTGTCATCGTTGAATGACAGGGCCATAAAGTCACTCACAGGCAACGCGATGCACAGTTGCGTTGTCGGGTGCTTGGTCCTGTGCATGCTCAGAAACGTGCGGCCTCAGCCACAGTGACGGAATTGGATCCGGTGCCCTGCGCCGCCTTGCTGCTTGAAAAGTCGTTGAAGTTGAAGTTGAAGTCTGGTTTTTTTGACATGCAGTTCGGTTCTGACTGCAGCTTGCGCTCGTCAGCTCACCAAATTAAGGCACCAATGAGCCGCCATGAGCAAAGCCACAAACGAAATTTTGCTTCCAATTTCAAACGTGCTGAAATGAAAGCAACTGTCGTCGGTGTGACAATTTGTGTTGAAGTGCTTCTTCCAAACATCGAATTGATCCAATTTAATATATATTTCCTCCTCAGGCTCAGATGACTCAGAAGTTTAAGGTTCTGTTGGCGCTCTCGGCGTCGCGCGTGCTTTGCATTGGTTCGCATTTCATAGTTCGCAGTGGACAGCTGCCACAGCGGACGGTGTTCGGAAGAAATCTTAGACAGATTCACCCTGACTCAAGACTCAACATGAAGGTTCAGTATAGGTTCAGTAAAAAGAGCTAGCGCTACTTGACTGATCAGCAGTTGTGTTGGGGTACTTTCTATCTTCATCATTGAAATTTGACATGTGTGTTACCAACTTGGTTCCAATTGAAGGGTGCTAGTTTGACTCACGCTCGTCTCTGAATTTGGGTTCTGGTCGCTGGTAAGTGCTTCCTTGTAGTAGCTTGCGAAATTCGGTTGGAGACACAGCTTGTGCCAACTTGTCTTGAAGTGGGCGAGATCTTGAACATCCCAACCAATTCAACCACTGTCAAGAATAGTACCAGAATCAGAGTCTTAAAGCTTGAAGCTTTAAAGCCCTGAGACTCTGTGCGCCCAGGCCTTTGTGGTCACTTCTTCGGCTTCAGGCCACCATCTGTCACCTGACCGTCTAGAAGCTATTTTTTATTTTTCGCATGCACCGTCATGGCTATGCACGCCAGCTTGAACCCATGGCCCTCGATCCTGGACATGCGCAAGAACCAAAGCAACTTTTTGTCGCTGTAGTATAGGGTACCAGCATGTTGATGCACCCAGGGCTCGTGAATGGATAGGATTTTCTGCCAATCACGCTTTTGGTTTCATGCAAATTACCCACTCTCTTGGTGATTTGCCAGCTGGCTTTTGATTTCATGTTTTGTTTCGTTCCTGTCTCCCATTGCATCAGTTTGGTCTGTGTGTTGTTTCATGTGGAATGGGCACTACTTCAAATCTCCAGGGCCTGATGCTAAGAGGCGCTTTTTGACTTGCTTCGTGACCTGGTATTGGCTTTGTTGGCTTCACTGCTTGACTGTGTTTTGAAGAGCTTTTCTAATTCTAAACATTGGGTTGCTCTCATTGCAAATTAAGCTCATTGATCATCGATCAATGAATTATTTATTGGTGACAGTACCGAAGCTGTCACTGCGAGGGGGGTAACTTTTGCGTCACTGTTAATTTCCAATGAGTGGGACGTTGAAAGTGACCACCAACAGCAACCCTGAGGTAGTCTTCTGCACTTGGAATGAAGTTCATGTCTTTATCGAAACAACATGGACACTCCTCATCAGGGCCGGCCGAGCCGGCCTTTCAATCAGCAGCAAGGCTGAACTTGGGTTGAACCTCATTTTGGAGGAACCTGGAATCTCGAGGAACCTTGCTGAAGTGATTTCGCTTTGACTTTCGACTTCCAACTGTAACTTGCTAGGCTGATAACTGATACACTGGGCCACTAGGTTCCTATTTTGAAAAAGCGTCAGAGCCCAATTCAACTGTCATGTAACTGTTCGACAACAATTCTTTTTGCTACTTGGCAAGGGTTCGTTCTTCGGTCCCAGTCTGGAATTGCGGCAGTAGTGCAAGAGGCACTCTGCCAACAACAACGAACAACGTTGTCACTGTGACAGGCGGTTCGGTTCATGTCTGATCATGGCTGGAGAAAACAGACCTAGGCTTTTAGGCTTAGGCAAGTTGGTAGGCAAGCGCTGGCAGACCGGGTTGGCATAGCTGGGTCTTGAGAGTTGAATCTGAAAGTTGCCATCAATGAATCAATGCGTGTGAAGAATATCAGGCACTATTTAATACCAACATTGGACCAGCATCAATCATCGAAGGAAGTTTAGAAGTCAAACTTCCGACAATATGGACACATGAAAAGCAGAGGTGGGAAGAGTCGGAGAAGAGAAGCAGAAAAGAAGATCAAAAAAGAGAAAGTTTCACAAGAAAGAAGATCCAGGTGCGCGAAAATGAAAAGGTAGGATAGTCGCAAAACACTGTGTTTTTCCAATGATTGTGGCTCCGGAGGGTCGAAAAGTAGGCTCGCTAAAGCGGCGGGTGCGGAGCCCGCTGGGCAGATGAGAGATGAAAAATTGCACGCCGTTGTGGCGCGAAGCACATTTCGAAGTCAACATGCACAAAACACTGAGGTGTCGAAAAAGTGCACGCCGTTGTGGCGCGAAGCACATTTCGATGTCAAAAATGTACAGAACACACCAGGTTCGGACCACTTTTGAAAGTTGAGATGTCAAAAAAAGTGCACACCGTTGTGGCACGAAGGACATTTCGAAGTCAAATGTACAAAGCACACCATTCTCGGACCACTTTTGGAAGTTGAGATGTGGAAAAAGTGCACGCTGTTGTGGCGCGAAGCGCGTTTCGAAGTCAAAATGTAAAATAAAAAACGGATGTTCGCACCTCTTTTGGACTTTGAAGTGTCGTTACGCGTGGCAGGCGCAAGGGATTGTGCACCGTGTTACAAGTAAGCAAAACGTGATGGTTTTGCAGCATGTCCAAAAACGATGGCAGGCATGGGCCATTTGAAGAGGATCTGCCAAGATGCATTGTCTGTGGCAGGCGCAGCACAAGAGACATGTTCATCAGAGCTGTTTCGAGGTCCGGGCGCTGATTTCCTGAGAAGGGTTTGCATTTTGGAGCATCAGATCTTCAGGGTTGCTGAGATGATTTTGCGTGACAGGTGCAGCACTTCGTATGACCTGTCATCACTTTTTCAAGGCAGGCGCAGTACTTTAGACAGGTGGGCTGGAAAAATCGCAAAACGCATTGATTCGAGGCCGTCAGCTCTGCACTCAACTTTCCATTTTTGAAGGATGTCTCGCAGAATTGCTTCGTTTTTGATGTTGTCAACTTTACAACTTTGAAGAATGAAGAAGTCTCGCAGAATTGCTTCGTTTTTGACGTTGTCAAGTTCAAAAATTGAGGAAGTCTCCCTGAATTGCTGCGTTTTTGATGTTGTCAAGTTCAAAAATTCAGGAAGTCTCATAGAATAGCTTCGCTTTCAAGCGTGCAGGTAGACAGATAGACAGATAGACAGATAGACAGATAGACAGAGAGACAGAGAGAGAGAGAGAGAGATGGATGGATGGATGGATGGATGGATGGATGGAAAAATAGACAGATAGATAGATAGATAGATCGATAGATAGATAGATCGATAGATAGATAGATAGATAGATAGATAGACAGTTAGATAGATAGATAGATAGATACATAGATAGATAGATAGATAGATGGATAGATAGATAGATAGATAGCTTGCTAGCTAGCAAGCTAGGTAGATAGATAGATAGATAGGTAGATAGATAGATAGATACATAGATAGATAGATAGATAGATAGGTAGGTAGGTAGGTAGATAGATAGATAACACTACACTATGCCACGCTACAATACACAACACTACAGTACACTACAAAGCACTACACTAATTACACCACACCACAACTACAACTGCAACTGCAACTATGTTGCACTAATTACGCTACATTACAACTACCACTTAAAACTACAACTCCACTACACAACAACTACAACTACAAGTACTTCTACAGCTACAACTGCAACTACAACTGCACTACTCCACACTACATCCAGCAGTTGTGGGCCAGGTGACCACAGCAACCGTTGCAACCATTCCAAAAAACACAGCTCCAACCACCTTTCGGTCCATCAGTGGATTCGCTCTGCCATCCGTGATTCACAACAACCAACCTCTCCTATAGGTTTCCCATTTTTGAAACTTCCGCCACCGTCTTGTGCGGTACTACTGGTAAATACATATGGTATGTATTTACATATCAGGCTGATGAGTATACCAAGCACCGTTTTTTTTTTGAGTGGCGAATCAGAGACGAATGTCATTGTTGAAATCGAGATGAGTGGCCATTGATGAACCAGCTTCCAATGAACCTTGCCAATGCTTCTCAGAAACTGCGACCATGTAACCATGTATCCTTCCTGCAGCGGTCACACGTCAAGTGGTGGAGTTGGTTGGGACCCAGGTCGGATCCATGGAAATGTTTTCTAACTCCGGCGATGCCGGCGACGATCTTGGTGTCGTCGCACCGAAGCAGGCTGCCGGGCAGATGCTACCGCCACCAGTGCCGTTCAAAAAGCCAAAGCTTGCGCTTGCTGACGGAAGTGTTGGCCAAGTTGAAGGTGAAGCTAAAGAACCCAATTCTGGGGGCGCCGAAGCTGCCCCAAATGCCAGAACTGGTTGCCAGCTTTGCTCTGTGTGCAACAGAGTCCTCACCCAAACAGAGGTTCTCAAATGCAAAGCAGACCATGTGATGTTGACTTGTGAGGAGGACAGGTATTCCATGGGGTCCCTCCTCACATGGATGGGTTGAGTTGTGTTGCAGTAATACTGCTGTATGCATGGCATAGAAGCCAAGTACTTGGGTGATGATGATTCAATGCAATGCTGGAATGCTAATTAAAGCCTCGTTTATTCATTGGGTGCTGATGGGCGCGCCTGCAGCTTGCGAGGACAGAACTTGTTACAGAGCTTTGCTTCAACAAGCCAAAGAGACTGGGCGACTTCAACAAGTTGAGAGCCTGCGCAAGACCGACCCGGACCAGTTCAATCTCCTGGTCTTGGAGTTTAGAAGCAAGTGTCCAGCCTACACAGATGCATTACTGATCCGATATGTATTGCGCGCGCAGGTCACGTCACAACACATCACTTCACACTGCACATGCGATCTCTCAGGGTAGTATTGGGTGTCATCAACATCACATCATCATCAACACTGATCACTGATCACCACCATCATCAACAACACATCATGTCAGCTTAGCTGCAACTGTTTCGACGCAAGTATGGGAGTTGAGTGAGTTCAGTGAGTGTTCAGTTTCTTCACTCACTCATTACACTCACTCAGGTGTGGGTCGTTTGGACGCGGCAAGGCGCGTCCGAGGTATGACTTCGCAGCCTTTTTCAAGCAAGTTGAGAAGGGCAAGCGGGTCCAGACTGGCGGCCTGCAGGTTACCTTGTTGAAATTGATGCCCATTTGTCATGTGACCACTTGTGTTCAACCCTCTCGTCAGTAATCAGCGTCTTGCAGGGCACTGTTGCCTGTTGCTGTGCCTTATTTGAATGAATTCTCGCCATTTTGGGATTTGGGTGTCTCTAAACTTGTGACTTGTAGTTGAAAGCTCTGGCTCTTTCATGTCAACTCTCGACTCCCTCAGCTCAACACCTACTTTTCTGTCCTGATCTTTAAATTTCAGCTTTCCAACTTCGGACATGAAGTTTCAAATCTCTTACGCCAGGAGATGATGATCTTTTCAGATTACTGCAAGCACTACATGGGTTTGAGCTGGCCGTTGACCCTGACGAAGGAGCAGGACAGACATCATTGACAGTGACAAAGAGAGTGACAGTGACAGCCGGCAGCTGTTCAGGCTGCAAGCAGGTGGAAGAGAGAGGCAGCAGACCCAGCCCATCCCCGAGATGAAGTTCGTGCTCCAGACGAGCATGGGATGCCCAATGGAGAGAAGGCGCCTCTTCTGCCACCCGCACGTGAAGTTCCCACAAATTATTGTAAATTCAAGTCAAGATTTCAAGTCTCAAATCCCGAGATCAGATGATATCGATACCATATACACTCATACGGTATTCAAACCAGTTGATCAATGATCAATGCAGTGTGCCAATAAGTTGAAGCTCTGATTTTTCCAGGTGATTCGTTTGGCTGTAAAGATCCGGGACTACATCGACGACCACAAGTACCAAGACGACAAGTCAATTCTCATGGTTGGGAATCGCAGAGACAAACCGACCCACAGTGCGGTGGAAGAGCTTAAGGCAAGGCAATCAGATTGAGAGGCCAAAAGTTTGCAGCCGTATGGCCTGTATGGACTCATGCTTTAATCCGGATCTGGATTTCACAGTGAAGTTCACTTCACTGTTTGGCCACTTTGACCAGGACAGTTTTGAGCAAGACAACATCTTGGAGTCCGACGATCCTTTGCAACAACTACCAGCTTTGCCTTCCAGCAGCTCACTGGCTAAGATTACAGGCTGTGGGCAAGGCCAAGGAAGCAGGCAACTGGAAGATGGCCGTGCAGTTGCCAAACCAGCTGCCAAGAAGGCTCCCAAAGTTCGGAACATCAAAGCGTCTTGCCTGTTTGCAAACTGGAAACTGGACAGGCTGGATGACTGGACATGGGAAAACACAAGCAAGACATAGACTCACGATTCCAAAGTCTCATAGACGACCAATTCAGAACAAGATCAGATCCAAGACCCAGACCTTTGTCAAATTGCATTTCCGGTTCCTGTATCAATATATGTGCGCTAAGTTAGCTGGGGTTTACATGACATTGGTTAACGGTTAGCTGTTTTAGCGGCTGTTTTCTGGGCTTTTACTGTTTGTCTATGTATTTCTGATGTTTCTTTCATTTCTCTCAGGTTCTTCTGGAGAAGGCCAAGCTTGCCACGCTGCTGAAGGCGGATGAACTCAAGAAGCAAGCTAGCGCAGTCAAAGAGATGATACAAGTTTGCATCAATATGCTCAAGGAAGACAACCACTGGCCATCTGGCAAGGAGGGCCTGGAGGAAATTGCCAGGGACGAGGCGATGTTTTCGGCCGGCCACGACGTGCTCTCATCGTCAACTGAGCTTACCTTGCTGCTCCGGCTGTGCATGGTACACAGGCTGTTTGAATGTGAGGAAGCTGATGTGGAGCTGATGGAGAGGCTGATTGACAGCGATCCTTACTTGTCAAGCATGGATGATTTGGCTAAGGCCAAGCATGATCCTGATACTGAAGTTCCACCGCCCTCACTCAACCGTGCAGAGCTTTTGCTGCCAGTCCAGCTAGTCCTTCAACAGCGAGAAGATTGGGCCGAGTTCAAGACGGTCGGGGCCTTACGGGCCTGAGTTGCGATGGTCAAGTTTATTTCAATTCGATTTGACCGATTTGCTTTGGTCCTACCCACCCAATCTTTATATATATATATATATTTTTTTTTTCCCCAACAGCGTAAGCTAATGGGGTCTTCAGCCCAGAATAGCTCCGGTGTGGACTCAGGTTCAACGAGGTCCCGGAGAAGGTTCCTAAGGTTCCGGAGAAGGTCTGGGAGGCTGGTGCAGAGCGGTCAGGTTCAACAGGGTTCCGGAGTTCCGGAGAAGGTCTGGGAGGCTTTGGTGCAGAGCCAGGCCAGGTTCCGAAGAAGGTTCCGGAGAAGGTCTGCATGGGAGGCTTTGGTGCAGAGCCAGGTCAGGTTCAACAGTGGTTCCGGAGTTCCGGAGAAGGTCTGGGAGGCTTTGGTGTATAGAGCCAGGTCAGGTTCAACAGGGTTCTGGAGAAGATTCCGGTGAAGGTCTGGGAGGCTTTGGTGCAGAGCCAGGTCAAGTTCAACAGGGTTCTGGAGAAGTTTCCGGAGAAGGTTCCGGGAGGCTTTGGTGGAGAGCCAGGTCAGGTTCAACAGGGTTCCGGTGAAGGTTCCAGTGAAGGTTTGGGAGGCTTTGGTGCAAAGCCAAGTCAAGTTTAACGGGTTCCGGAGAAGGTTGCGGAAAAGGAGGTTTTGGGAATCTTTGGTGCAGGGCCAGGTCAGGTTCAACAGGGTCAGCAGAGGGTTTCCAGCGCTTGGCTTCGCAGCACGCGTCAGAAAAAATTGTAAAAATAAAACGTCGCGGCTGTTGGGGATACCACCGAAGCTTGTTTTTTATTAGAGCAAATTTAATATGATATATTTTATTTCTGATTCATTTAATATCATATTCATGAAGATAAAATAGTTTTTTCAATTCATATATATATATATAAAATATTATAATATATATTATAATATCTATATATGTTTTAAAGTAAACAACATACATATGTAGATTTTTGTATTTTTTGTATTGGCACTGAATCTGGCTGAAACATGCTGACGCTTGACAGACTTGATAACTTGAAAGCCTTGCCTGATTGGTAGGCCTACTCCCATTCCACATTGCTTCGGTTTGCTCACATGTCTGCGGTGGCCCTTAAGGAAGTTGCTTTGAAAGCTGGGAAGGATGCTTTTGATGGCCAAGTTCGAGTTCTCAACAAGATTCAGCAATCTTTAGCATCTGTGAAGAAAGACTTTGAATCAGAGAAGCGGGAGCTGGAAAAGGCACTGTTTTTGAACTCCTGAAAAACGTGACATCCAACAGAGTGCCTGCCAATTTCTCAACACAAGTAGGCTTCCGTTCTATGTTGGCAATGCCCCGTGGCCAAATTTCCCAACTTGATGTAGCTGTAACAACTGCAGCAACATGTGGTACCTGTAAGTTGTCATTATTTACATTGCTATGGAAAGAGTGGACAAGTGATTGCCCACATGCCATTGTTGGACTTGCAACTTGGCAGGCTCGTCAAGCAAATGAAAAAAAGAAGGAGAAACAGGAAGCTGCTGAGAGGAAGAAGATGGAATCAGCATCTTGGCGGCCTTAGATGTAGCCATATCAGCATTTATATCACCCTATCATAAAAGTTTAAAGCGTGGAGAGTTGAGAGTTGGGAGCAGAGATGCGAGAACACAAGCATCACAAGCCACAAGGGCCAGGGGATTCAGCAATCGCCATGTGAGTGGCAGTGGGGCATGTGAGTAACATAGTAAAGCAGCGAAGCCGCTCAAGCTTAGGCTGCCAAAAAAAAGCAGCAAAGGCAGCCGGAGAAGGCGGCCGGGGTGGCGGCGGCTCTGCAGGTCGTCTCAGAGTTGGAGCTGATGCCATTGACGAGTTTGATGATCCGGTGATCCGGAACGTGCCTCATTTTCCCATGCAGAGACGGCGGATTCCCGTCCTCATCCTTGACTCGAGCGACAAGGTGGAGGGCATGATGCACTACATCCAGTCTGGCACCCCGTTCATTGCCAGGCCGAAGCGGGGCAAGAACATCATGAAACTGATGAACGTTCCATGGCCAAGATGAAGTCGTGTGCAACTTGCGGAGGACGGCGGAGGTCATGAATTGGGAGTCACAAGTCATGAATCATGAGAACTGATTTGCATATATGATGATGTGAATTTGATAGACTAGACATGATGATATGATCATAATGCAATAATGCAATGCTGTATTATCACTCAATGGGTGTTTTAGTAAAACCTGGGTTTGCGGTTTGCTGGTTGTTCCTTCACAGTTCCGTCCTGAGGCTAATGAGACAGATATGTCCATGATGGGGGTTGAGATGCAGACTTTCATGGAGAAGTTTGACCAGCAGGTCGAAGCGGCTACCCAAAAAAATGGTAAACCACCGCGTTCGTCTCGGCTGTTGGAATGCGCAAGATCATCAGGGGAATTTTTCCAGGCCAGCTCATGTGCCAGCTCAATTGCCAAGATTGAGGTTTCAGGCTTCAGGTCTGCAGTTACCCCAGGACAGCTCAAGATTTCCAGCTTTCTTCCATCTTGCATGCTTCGAACCTTCAAGACACTGTTTCTAATTTGCTTGATTTTGCTAGGAATAGAAAGTAAATGTAAAGACTAGACCGAAAATTTTCGTTTGGCAAACGGCAAGCTCAAATTCAGCGCGAACGTGTGCTGCAGGTGTTGTCCTGTGGCGATTTCGATCCTGAACAAGCTATGGCAGCTGGCACGGTACCCTTCGCAGCAACGGACATCATGGCAGAAATGGATGGAAAGTACCTTGCTTTGCATTGCACGCGTTCCTATACTTCTGATGTTCCAGCTAATCTTGCTGCACTCTGTAATTTACATTTGAACAGTTTATTTTTTAGCCTACATGTATCTACATGTACATTCACTCATGTACATTGTACATTTTGAGGATTTTCATTTGTTTCTTCATTACGTGAATTAGCTTTGTGCGGAGCGTGCTTTGAGCTTTGAATATATTTGACTCACTTGACTCACGTCTGTACGTGGTACTTGATTAGGCTTGAAACTTTGATTGAGGATTGTTTGTGTCTTGAGTCTTGAGTCTCTGAGTGTGTGTCAGTGTCAGTCTTTCGCAGGCTTACCAGAGAAACGAAAGACAAAGCGATTTTGGATGCAATGTGTCCACGCGCTGCTGGGCTTGCCCGTGGGAGCACTTATGCGGGCATAGAATCAAGCTTCTTGCCTTCCGCGCGCTGGCAATTCGCAGGATCGAGACTTTTGGCCATAGCCCGCCCTTGTGATGCATCTTGCCTGCTTGCTGGGTAACCGGATTGAGTTTGCAACATTTGCTGCCACGCAAAACGCTAACGCTAATGCTGGCTCTAACTCTAACCAGGTATATAGTTGCGCCAAGCCAGACTTGGAGCCTGAGGTGGGAAAATACTTCGAAACACAAGAGTTGTCGAAGGTCCTCCAGTGCTTGAAGGAGCTCACACCAGACAGTTTGAAAGCAGGGTCCCTGCCAACGTTCATGGTGAACCAAGTGACCGTTGCTTGGATTTCGTGCGCCAGCGAGATGAGCTAGGTAGTTTGCCCGACTTCAAATTCAGACTTGACTCGAGTTGATTCAAATTCACGAAACAACTCAAGCCTCGCTTAAGCTGACACCTCAAACTCCCAAGTTAACCATCACCAGTCGCTTAGAACTCACTTCAGCAAGTTTGTCATGGCTGGTTTAATATTTTTTGAGCAATAGTCCTTGTAGGGATTGTAGATGGTGAAAAGCCCCTGACCATTACAAGATCTGATTTGCCAAAAGTTGCTTGATGAAAACAATAATTTGTTGATGGCGGCGAGGCCAGTTGTTGCATACTCACTGGAGGGAAATTCGTGATCACCCTTTTGTATCCTTTTGTTGTTTGATCCCACCTCTGAAAATCTTGGCCCACATCTAAGGCAGGAGACATGGTCTTTTTGCCCTTTGGCTTCATCTTTTGTGAAAAAGCCACCAATGCAGCAAGCATCACCATCCGAGCCACTTGGTTTGAAGTGTGTATGCATGCTTGTCTGTTTCTACTTCTGAAGGGGGGTTGCGTTCTGGGCCCTGTCGATGGATTTTGTGATTGGTATGTGGCATGCGGTGCCTTTTTAGATGTTTTTATATGTATGGCGCATGCTGCAGCTGCTCCTCAGGCCACTGTGGAGCTCTTGAGCCCTGAGGGGCGCGACGATTTCAATCAGTTTTGCAGCCAAATCCCTGAAGGGCATGTGTCCGCAGCTTTGCAGAACATGATGCCCAAGCTGAATTTTGCAGCTGCACCACCAGTCACTGTGCCACCCGCACCCGCATCAGTTGGTCATGGTGTGGACGGTGCTGACAGTGCCATGGAGGAGCCCAACGGAGAGACCGACGAGAAGAGCCAGAGCCACGGGATTAAAGCTGAGGTCAAGGTTGAAAAACGTGATGAGTCAGGTCCTGGTCAGGACAATCGCTCACTTGGGGCGGTTGCGCCTGCGGCTGCTGAGATTGCCAGTTCTGGCAATGACGATGCTGCGGATGCTCAGGCTGTGACTGTGACATACTGAACGTGATTCGAAGTTGGAAGGTGTTCAGAGTCAGGGCTGTTCAGCTGTTTACAGTCGAGTTGTTGATGTTCAATTTTCATCAAGTTTCAAGTTCCCAAGGCCTCAAGTGCAACATGAACTTGACTTTCCGTTTCCTTTTGCCTTTTATGGACAAGTTCTGAAACAGTTTTTGGCTTGGAGGACGCACCCCCTGAAGATCGTGCAGCCCCTCCTCGAGAGGCTGCTGAGGCGGTTGCGCCTGCTGATCATGCTTCGCCTTCTGCCACGGCCCCTGCTGGAGAGGCTGCTGAAGCGCTTGTGGCTGCTGATCATGTTGCGACTGTCGCCACGGCTCTTGCTGAAGAGGCTGCTCAACCGCCTGTGGCTGCTGATCATGCTTCGCCAGAGACTGCTGAAGCGCTTGTGGCTGCTGATCATGTTGCGACTGTCGCCACGGCCCCTGCTGAAAAGGCTGCTCAACCGCCTGTGGCTGCTGATCATGCTTCGCCAGAGGCTGCTGAAGCGCTTGCGGCTGCTAATCATGTTGCGACTGTCGCCACGGCCCCTGCTGAAGAGGCTGCTCAACCGCCGGTGGCTGCTGATCATGTTGCGCTTTGTGCCACGGCCGCTCCTGTCGAGGCTGCTGAGGCGGCGCCTTCGGCTGCTGCTCCTTGTTTCTTGGCAAGCCAGTTTAGGAGCTTGTATGATAGACTCCAATCACTTTCATACATGAGATACGAGGGTCCAAGATCCGCTTTAGAATTTTTTCAAGTTTTTTTTTGGCCGGGGGACCGAGGGACACAAATAATTTTCGGTTTCGTCAGAAAGCCGAGTCCCGTTTACTATGCAATGATATTGCTTCCCTGCACCTGTGCTGTAGATTTGTGGTAGTGTGGCGCCAGATACTTTGTATACTCCAGTCTCAAAGTAGATGGCTCAATTTCTTGACTTGTGCCTTCTATGTCAAAGGCAAAATGCAGGGGATAGATGGCGCAACTCCATTTCAAACAGGTAGTTTGCGCCATGTATGTCCCTAAGAATGACCTATTTTTTGCAATCTGCCTCGGTTTGCGCCCACAATTTTTCCTCAACATCAAGCTGCCTTTCAGGGACATAGATGGCGCAAGTCCCACTCGTGTCAGCGTATATGCCAGAAAGAATTCGGAAAAGTGTTTCAGGGTGGGGACCACTCGAAGAAAGTATTTATGTTCAAGGGCATCGCCCTGTACGCCGACCCCTCCTTACGCCAGGTACAACTGATCACCAGCGACGCTACTGTGGACATCTTGGGCCAGTTCTCCGACATCAAGTACCAGGTGCGGGTTTTTCGCGCGCGCCCATTGGGCCTGGCGGATTCTTTAAGTTCTCAATATTTCAGGGTTGCTGCCCAAAACATCAATGGCTTGATAGCCATTTGGGGTTCCACTCATTTGCCAAAATCAGGCTGAGAATGCCCGCATAGATGGCGCGTACCTCCCGACATCCTTCAACCGACCTAATGAATTCCCCCAAAGAAAAGCCACCATATATAGAATGTAAACAAGCAAAAATGACTGTGATGGCGCAATTCATTTTCGAACCCATCGAAAAAAAAATCTGGCGTTTGAATGGGATTTAGTGGACATAGGTGACCATAGGTGGCGCAACTCTTTGTATGCTCCAGCCAAAATAGCGCCGTTTTCTTCCTCACCGCGCGGTGCTATCTTATGGGTATTTCGGTTTTTGAGTTGAGCCATCTACTGTGGGATCCGTGTATGTGTAATTATTGCGATGTTCTTTGCCATCATCAAAGTGAAACTCAAGTCTTCTAAGAAGATGTTTCCTGACACAAAGTGTACTGTCAGGTGAAAGGCCGGGCTGTTTGTAGAAATGCCGCTTCCTTTTCTTTTCTTGCCAACATCAGGAGACTTATGAATATGTGTGAAAACGACGGCTTTTCAAGACTTCACAAGAGAGCTAAACGCAGTCCTGGCGGTAGATCTGCGCTAGGTTCCATTGATCCACACTAGAAAAAACGTGGAAAGATTAGCAGTGGCCCGTGAATCGGCTCGCAAACCATTACAAGCCGTCACATGTGTAAAAAAGTTGGTCTAGGTGCTTCGTCAGTTTAGATTTTTTTGAATTTGTGTATTCCACTTCAGTTGCAGCATGACTGTCATCGAGATGTCAGTGTGTGTTCAAGTTTGTCAGTTGGAACTTTCCGTAACCTCGAGCGCGCGTCTTTTACACGCCGTGCGTTCTCTCTTTGAGGCTTTTTAGGTTTAGGTACGCGATCTAGGCCCAAGCGTAAACCTGGCACACTTGATAGTAAGTCTAACTGCCGTTTTTCAATGAAGGAAATAAAGTCTAAGGACCTGCAGGTTTGCACAAGGTATTGTTTGCGATTGTTGGGGTGCCAAGAACTGTGGGACATATTATTTTCTACCTCTACGCGCCATGGAAAAACACGCTTTCGATGATGCTGCGAACAAGAATGGAAAGAGCCACACGCCTGCTACGTATGCAGGATTTTGATTGAAAGTGACTACCTTCAATGCTTTTCATGTTTGATGCCGGCTGAAAGAATTGAACTTTAAAGGCGGAACCATGAGAATCCTTTAGATAGTGAGATCGATTTGTTTCCGAATCCGGAAGGGTGTATTTAGAGAAGACCTCACATGTGTTTTTTTTATCTGAGTTGTCTCAGAGCTTGTCACTGGGAACTGGGAACGGCTGGTTATAAGCGGGAACTTTCAATTTTCATGTTCCCCTCCGTCTTCAACTTCAAGCATGAGTACTCACTACTGTTTGAGTCAGCGTGGGTTCAATGTATTTTCCACTGGGGCTGGCCTCCTTTGGTTTTTTCCTTCCTTCGGACTTTTTCAATGAAGATAGTATATACCATACAGTCTTCGGTCGTTAATTTTCCTTTTATAGGCCTCAGATTTTTTGTGCCGTTCTACATACCAGTGCCACATCGGATTCTTTCATGAACACATGCATGTCGTCATGATTTTTTCCGCTGTTGCCCCAGTTGGTGCTGCTCCTGTGGCAGCTTCTTCCGAGAAGGCGGACGAGCCTGCGGCAACCCAGATTGATGAGAAGGAACAGCAGGTTCCCAATGGTGGCGGCGACCTTGCGCAGGATGCTGCGGCTGAAAGCGAGCAAGACGATTTTGACAAGGACAGTGTACGTAGTCCAAACATCAGCAGCCCTTGCAATACCATACGGCTGTCATAGCTGTCAGTTATTTGTTTGTGTATTCTTTGGAGGCTCTGGAAGTTTTCCTGAGCCCATCTGACATCTCAAAAGGGCCAATCGCCCAAGATTTCTCACCAACTACCGACTATCCCCAGCAAGGACCTTGATGGCGCCAGTTTGAGCGACAACGACGTTGAAAATGAAGATGACGAGGCTAATCAGGCTGGCCAATGGATTCAGAACTATAGCCACTTGCCATGTGCCACCAGTTCGTTACTAGTGCATTTTTCAAATTGGCACGAGTAGCAACTAAGGGGTAGGTAGTGAGTCGTGAGTGACAAAAGAAAGCGGGTGATTGTTTTTTTTGGGACTCAGATTCCAAACCAGCCGATCTCGCAAAACCGTAGATTCTGCAGTCTGTTTCAGAATTCAGAAGTCAAAATTTGCATTGCCTTGGCTATGGCCATTGGGCCTTGTCAGGCTGAGCCCCCTCACGATTCCATGCAGAAGGCCGAAGACATGCAGGCTTGGGAGCGAGAGGAACGTTCCGTGGTCCAGAAGATGAAGGTCGCAGAGCTGAAGGACATGTTGCAGGCTCTTGACGAGCAGACCTACAAAAGATGCAAGGCCTACAAGAAGGATATGCTGGTGATGGAGGTGATGAGTTTGAAGCGGGAAGCCAAATTGCTGGCATCCAACGTTGAGCCTGAAGCCAAAAGGCGGAAGGTTTGAGACTTGTTTGATACAAGGACATCGGGGAATGATGCCATCCTGGCATCCTGCGTTGCACCACTGCACATGCAGTCACGGCACGGGGAAAATGAAAGCAGATGTCTGAGCTGAGGGGTTGGATGAAGTTGGATGAGGCAAATCTGGAGATTTTGCTGGTTTATAGCTAGTTTCATAGGGGCATAGCATAGAGTTCACAATCGAACATGTTCATCTGGTCAGCACGGCTGCTTGGCCACTTGTGAAGGCGAGTCGGGTGCTTATGTTTTTATATAGGCTTATGCCACCCGTCACCCGTAATCCCGCGAAATAATCCAGTTCCAAAGGTCTTTTTTCTCCACACAATGTGGATGTTTGGATGTACCAAGCCCACCCGCGAGCTTACAGCTGTCGCGCAAACCTCCCCGTGCAGGTATCACCTGGGACTAGGCATCTATAATGTCCAAACAGCAGTGGAGGGAATGGAGGGCAACAAAAGATCACATTTCTTGCATTTGTGCGGTCAGTTGCTGCACCTAGTGCTAACTCCATGTCACGTTGAAGGCGAGCATCACCCCTGGACCCGCTCCACAGCGCTATCTTTTGCTGCTGAAATTGACGGACATGTTTTAGGCACACTCTGTGCAGTGACAATGGCTTTGCTCACCAACCGGCTCGATCTGTGCATCCAAGGGCTCCTCGGAGCAGGCAAGTCGAAATCGATGGCAATCCTTATCCTGGCTCTGATTGAGATCGATACCACCGACAGCCTTAAGATATTGTTCATTTGTAAAGAGAACTCCGGTACTAGATCTTTTGCTGACCTCCTCCTATGGCTCGACCCCCCGTCGGGGGGGTTTGGGCGCATAGGTAGGCTGGTGGGAGACCAAGAGCGCAACAAAAGCAGTTACTCCCACACAAAATTTGATATCCACCCGAAAGAAAGAAGGCAAATGTTGCACAAGTGTCAGCTAATCTTAGCCACCGGGGGAACGGTAGCCCAGGATCTTACCATGCAATGGTCCACAATGGGTGGTTTTATGCAAGAGCTCTCCCTCCTGGTCATTGATGAAGGCCAGCAGTATGGCACCGACCGAGAAATTGCAGTTATCAGCCTGCTGAGGCAGCAACCTCTGGTATTGTGGACAGGAGACTCAGAGCAGACACCCGGCGGCATTGATCGGGCAGCTCGCAACGCAAAGCGCTCCCGACAACTACTGCTCGCCAAAAAGCATGGCCTGCGAAGCAACCGCAATTATTACACGCCAGCCACCCTTGCCGATGCTATGACCCGACTGCTAGATGGTTCGGCCAATGAAGGTCTGACGACTCTTAGTCAAATTCTCAAACGAGGACAGTCCACTTTAGGCCGGCTATGGACAAGTCAGCTATCGCCACAGGATGAGGAAGATCTCAAAGTAGCCAGCGCTGTTCTTCCAGGCCTCCAAGCCGTATTTAAAGCAACGCAGCCCACTATGCGGCGACACTCCCGTTTCGTAGAATCGGAACTGCTGGAGGGTGCTGCTCTCAATCTTCCACGGTCTCTTGTGCGCCTTGCCTGGATCTTGCAGCATGCCGCTACCCTCCTGCCCATGGCTGGGGACATACAAGCAACCCTAAACTCCCAAACCGCTGGTGTGAGTGACATCCATGCTTGGGGGTTAATGCTTCCCTCCAGCTCCAGAGTTAGTCTTGTGACATACCATGCAGTGGTTGCAGTAAGATACCCCGCTCTCTGCAGACAGGTAAATGGCCTATGGGAACTAGGCAGTTTTGCCTCGGGAG